ACTTTATCTAGTGAAGTAAGACTAGATTCTTTTACATTCTTCAATGAACAAATACTCTCCCAATTTAACTTAAGATCACTTAACCAGTTTCTACCTAGTAATGGTGGTCCATTTCCTTCAACCACAAGAAGAGGAAGTTTAACACTTTGACCATTATAACTTACATGAACCATACACTCTCCTATTACCGGAACATTGTCACCAGTGTATGTTGTTAAACACTTGTGACATGATTGTAGAGGCACTGATCCTCTTGTGACAGCGTCAAAATCTTTCTTTGTTATGACTGTTAGAGATGCTCCAGTGTCAAGTTGGAAGCTGATGCTCTTACCGTTGATATTAACTGGTACATTGATGGGAGCATGACTTATTGATTTCACAGAGAATAGGTTGAAATCCGGCTGCGAATTAGTTTGAGCATTTTCACAGGTAGAGTGGTTCATTGGTTGGGTTAGGTAGTCTTGGTGAGAGTTAACATAGTGCTGCTTTTGGTTGCGGTACTGTCTTGACTGGCTAGATTTAGCAACAGACGAAGACTTTGCAAAGCAGGCCTTAGCAATGTGACCTTGCTCACCGCACTTATAACAAGTTGCTGACTTGAACTTGCACCGATGAGATGCATGGGGACCTTTGCATCGATGACATTTTTGATAATTATTACTAGATTTAGATCTAGGATTTGAACGAGCAGGGTGTTTAGCATAAGTTGAAATGCTCTGTTGGGGTTGATGTTTATTGACTAACCTGCTGTTTACTGCATGGATCTCTGAAGGTGCTAAAGATCTCGCCGCATCAGATGACTGCTGGAATGAAGTTGCAAGTTGTATTGCTTTTTCTAATGTTAGATCTGTCTCGAGCAGCAACTTTCTTTGAATATCAGGGCTGTTTACACCTGTCACAAACTTTTCACATAATTTGTCAGACAGCGTGTCTCCGAATTCACAAAATTCACTTAAATGACGTAAAGCAGCAACATATTCTGATATTGACTCGTTTGGTTGACGAGTCCTACTGTCAAATCTAGCTCGACATAGAAACTTTGATGGGGTAGGCGCATGGTGGTCTGTTAGCAATTTGCTCAGCTCGTTAAAGCTCTTGGTATCTGGACTAGCTGGTGCGCATAAGTCCTTTAGTAGCCTGAATTGTTGAGGCCCTATGACTGTTAACAAAACAGCTCTCTTTTTGGCTTCTATCGTCACGTCGTTAGCTTCTAGGTAAAAGCTTAACCTCTCTAGGTAATCTTGAATGATGTCATCATTCGCATCAAATTGTTTTATTTGGCCATACAGCGCCATAATTCTAGAAATAATTAGCTAATAAGCTCTAGCAAACCTCTTTTTTGCGTAAGTAGGTGCTCTTTCTAGTAGATGTTTATCCTTCGTCGCCAGTTATAATAGATTGACGACAGAAGCCTGTGGTTGTATATAACACGTTTAATTGGGTCTAACTACACCACGATGGTAACACACAGAGAGGACGGACGGAAGTACACAAGGGACATCACTCAAGATAACAATATTATAAATATAACTAATACAGAAGAGTGAGTTCCCTTGACCTCACAATTATTTCAATCTATTACATGGATCACATTATGTTTCTACTTCAGCTCCCATTACACGCACGCACATACACGCACGCACACACACACACCGTGACAAATTATGAACTGTGCCTGATATTTTCTATATAAAATAGTGATAGGTAATGTTTTTAAAAGAAATCTGCAATGGGGGGGGGGGGGGGATTTTTTGTGATGATTTGGGTCAGAGGCGTAGCGACCCTTCCCGGCGCCCGGGGACAAACTTTTCGATTTGCAGCCCCCCTCAAGATTTCGATTTGCACCCCCTCTCAAACTTTCGATTTGCAACCCCCCCCCCCCCCTCAAGATTTTCATTTGCACCCCCCCCCTCAAACTTTCAATTTCCACCCCCCTCAACCTTTCCCCTAAGGTCGGCGCCCGGGGACATATGTCCCGCCCCCCTGACAGAAATCTAAGTTTATTTTGTAGGTTAAACAACCACGATACAGAATGCTCAGTGAATTAGTAATAAAAAATTGATGTAGGCTACAGAGTCTAGGTTTAAATTTGGTACTCGATTTGTTTAGGAACTGCATATCCTGCCTTTACATCGTTTAGGACAGGGGTCTCCAAACTTTTCAGTCAGAGGGCCGCATTAACTATCAAATTTCAGTTCGGGAGCCAGTTTCTTCCCGAAAAGTTCCTCAGCCATGACCAACAAACTTTTTTTCCGTGGACAAAAAGATCGCAGCGGGCCGGATGAGAGGACCTCGCGGGCCGCATCCGGCCCGCGGGCCGTAGTTTGGAGACCCTGGTTTAGGACATGGTTGAAGGAAGGTATAGGGCCACCTCTTTGGATGTAGGGCTGATTGGAGTGTAATCTCTGGAGCACCGGAGTCTGAAGAGCTATAATAATTTGAGAGTCACATTCCAAAAGTTTTCTTCATCCTGATATATACAATGTATTCGTAATGATTGTAAAGATTTGAATGCGAGTCGGTTGGTTTAAAGATAAGGTCGTTACGACTTTCAGCAGCGCCACATTGCGGTGAAATCATTTAAGGTTGGCACCACGACGAAAAAAAAACACTAAAATTTACTGTCAAAATACGTTTTATGCAGATAAAATAATTGAATTAGTATGGGAGAAGGGTGACATCAAAAAGAAAATGCAACATTTTTGGAGGGGGTGGGGGTGATACCATCAGTTACCGTACCGGGTAACACCCGACCGTGTGACTCCCCAGTCAACGTAAGTGGCATCATTCACTAAATGTTCTGGCGTGATGGTCATGTCCAGGAAATTGACAGAGCTGCTTGACATTTGTTGGGGTGGTAATTGTTGCAGAATGAAATAAAATATTTTCGTGCAACTTCTGGCTACTTGTAGGCCTACATGAACGTGCGACTGTCATTAGATCTAGATCTAGTAGGCCAAACTAAAGAGGTACACGTTATAGTGTAATCAAGAAAAGTTTAGATCTAGACTGAAGAATAGATTTAATATTTTAAAAAATATTCTGTTCAATTTTCAATTTTCATTGCTTAATCTGGGTAAACAAAGTTCGTAAACTAAAAAAAATTGGAAACGAATGCCTATAACTTTAGGCCTAACGTTTTATTTAAAATATTTTTCATTCAACTATAGATCTAGATCTAGATCTAATCCCTGTTTAGAAATTTTGGGCTCGATTGGCGCCAATCAGTATTAAGCGGGATTACTTCGCTCCCTTTAATAAAAGTGCGCTTGGCTAACGTTGAATTATAACGTCACTTCGATCGTATGCCAGATCAATGTTACAGAATACATTGCGGTTCTTTGTAGGCTGTGAAATAACGCTACACTAAAGTATAACAAAAGCCTGAAGGTTTAAAAAAAAAAGTTTCAAGTCTCATTATGGATTTTCTACTGATCAATCAGCTTGACAATACCTTGAGAGACATTTGCTACCCTATACAGTGTTGTTGGCCCTGTTAAAAACAGTTTAAATTATTTAGATTCTAGATCCATTTGCCCAACTGAGATGAACAGACGTGTTTATTAGAGTATTATCACCACAGTGCTATGTTTCAATTTGTTAACTAAACTGTGTATAGAGAGTATATTCGAGAAAACATAAGTAACACGGATTTAGTAATTTACTGACAGTCACTTGGATAAGATTGTGCACTGAGCGTGGTTAAAAATGCATTAAGGTTAAGGTCAGGACTAGGGCCAATTAATTATTTGCTATTAGATCTCTAATTTCTGGATTCTATATTATTAGCATTTGCATCATCCGTCAAGAAGCATAAATTAAAAAAAAATTAATTTTAAACAGAAGTAATTCTTAACAAACAAGATTTGCTTCATAAACATTTCTAGATTTTTACAAAAAAAATGTACAAATCCTTTGTGTTGTGTATACAAATTTCTACAATAAAGCAGTATTTTATCATTGTAGATAAAATTACTATAATAGTAGATCTATACTTTATTATTTCTATTAGCCTTAAGAGATTTTTTTAAAATACATTTTAAAAAATTTAAGTTGTGGATGATGTAGGCTACATCTGACATCAGGAATATAATTTTGCCATTGATTAATGTAAATCTATAGCTGATAGGTTATGATTTATTGTTTACCTGAACATTTATTTGATAGTATTAATTAGATATTAATTAGATAGTATTCATAGTTTAAAAAAATAATTGTCTCCCTAGAAAAGATGTGGAAAAGGACAGGTTAATTAAGGATATATGATACTTTTATGGTTAGATTTTAAAATTCTTCTACACTATTTAAAGTTTAAAGAAAAGAATGTCACAGAAAATAAAACACAAATCAGAAACATTAAAATGTGAAAAGTGTACTGCTAGTCTTGTATTCACTAACTCTGCAAGAAAAAAAAAGAGAAATAAACAAGGTATCAAAAGAAAAACATGTGTAAACAAAGTTAAAGAACAAGATGAAATCCCAGTTGGATCCTACCTCAGAGGGTGTGAAATGTGTGATATTTGCAACAATCAAAATGAGGTTGATTATCAAAAAAGAGGCTTGGAATTGAGAATACCTGAGCGTTTATGTGTTGTTATATTGAAAGATGATGTGGGTTTTTGTTTTACCTACTTAATTTATATATAGCCATATATAGTATATTTCAAATAAATAAATATATATATATATATATATATATATATATATATATATATATATATATATATATATATATATATATATATATATATATATATATATATATATATAGGCCTACCTATATATATATATATACCTATATATATATATATATATATATATACCTATATATATATTTTGTTTTGTTGTTGTTTTTTTATTTATTTATGTATTTATTTATTTATACATATATCAAACTAGATTTTTTAAAAATAGGTTACCAATATGAATATATATATTAAATGTAAAATCTTAAACCATTGTGCATCTTGAGATTAATAGATTACACTCAACAATTACAGAATTTAAAAGAAGTAATGAAATCAGTAAGCAGCAAAACTGAACTACACACAGATATAAGCAAGAAGATTCGCATTAAATTAGATACGTTGCGGGGCCAAACTGTTGTAGCCAGACTTGATGAAGATGGACTTTATTACCCAGGTACATTTTCAAATTTTACAACTGTGCTCTGAGGATATGAATTACATGTCACCTTTCTGTAAATTCAACCCTTCATCTTAAAACTTAACTCCTATTCTATTAGGCCTTCTCTATTCAGGGGTGTGCATAATTTTATAAAAAACCTTAATGCATTCTATAAATATGTAACACTTGTCTATTTCTTAAACTTACAATGTCTGTTTTTTAATCTGACAAATAACTTTTCTAGTAACATCACTTACACTTTGAGCAATCATTTTCAACAAAGAATACATGTATTCATTGTGTGCATGTCATAATAAATGATCTGAGAGACATTGATACAATTATATTTAAGGTTAAAAGGCAACTAGGTTATATTAAACAATTTTTAGGATTAATAAAATACCTGCTTTGAACTACTTTATTTACTACATCATTTTGTAATTAATATATATTGTTTATAATCTCTCCAAAGATATTAAAAAGACTATTTTTAAACCTAGACATCACATTCATATAAAGCTGGACCAATCTTGATAGTTTTAAATTGTGTTTACATTAATCCTTTATTATATTCATATTAACAATTTCAATAATTTGGTAACATTTATCTCATTCAGCTGTTGTAGTAAAGTGTCCTGATCCTCGTCATGCGGTGGTGAAATATGATGGAGAAGATGGCAAGATAGCCACAGTTTTGACAAGATATGTTATACCCATAGGCGGGGCCGTATCTAGACCCTTTCTTTCAGTAAGCTTGAATTTTTTTATTTCATATAGTTAAGTCAATTTTTTTCAAATTGACTGTCCATTGAGCAAGTAATGTAGAGTTCACCTTTTTCTGCATCCTCTGTATATGAAGGGATAATGTGGTAAGCACAATGCCCAGCCACTTTTGCTTTCCCTAACTAGAGTTAGGTACCCATCAGAGCTGTGTAGACTCAGGGATGTTCTACTGACTTGAACCCTGATTTGAACTTGAGACTTTCAGGTTATCTGTCTAGTGCTCTACAGCTAGACAACATAGACCCATTTGTATTACATATGTGGGCCTATATTTTACTAGATATGGCTGATTTTGAGGTATTTCTTGTTTTTTTTTAGTCAATATTTTGGAAAACTAATAATTTTTTTTCACTATCTTTTCTTGATAAAGAGAATTGTTTAACTATACGTAAAACTATTATTTTTATATTTTTTATCTTGTGAATTTCACTGTGATATAATTTTTTTCCCAACACCTACAATATGAAATGATTCTTTGATCAGGCTGGTGATTGTGTCCTAATAAGAGTTGTGAATTTAGACAATGCCAAAGAATGCTACATTCCTGGATGTATAGAGGCAAACACTGCACGGAAGTGTGGAACCTCTAAATTCTACTCTGTAACAATGTTTAATGGGCAAAGGGTATGTTTTTTTTTCTACAATACAAGTTAGGCTACATAGTCTAAATCTTTGTTTAAAGCATTATATTTGTATATAAGCATTTTGTTATAAAGCATTATATTTAACTCTTTCCCCTGTTCATTGTCAACACATTTACATTCTTATGATTCATCATTAGTACCTATTTATAAAACTTTTATTTAAAGCTAATTTTCTAGATTTTATATGAAAAATAATCTTGTTTCTCATTTGTTTTACTACTTATTTTGTTTACTTTTTTTTCACTCTCCTATATTTGTACTTTGCAGTCCTTGGTTAAGATGAAAAATTTGATAAAAATAAGCAAGGAGAGATATGAGTTGGCCAGGATGTACATAGCTATGCAGTGGCAAGAGGATGAAGATTCGACTGAAGAGTAAGATCATCAATTTTTTTCCAGTCAAAACCAGACTGTATGATTCATTAATAGCAATGTAATATATTGCAAAAAAAAATTTGATTTTTTTTTTGTCTATTTTATTTTCTTCAAAATCTTCTGAAATTAATACTTAAGTTATATTTTAAATAAAACACATGATGAATTATCGATTAAGAGTGATGTGTATCTTTTAATGTGCTCTTTATAGAGAATTTGAAACTATTTATGAAGCACCAAAAAGACAACGACCAGATGACAGGTATTTTATTGTAAATTTAAACATAATGGTCTTTTTTCCAATATTATTAAGTTACTTTACTTTTTTTAAGTTGATAATAATTATAAACAAATGCTTTGCTTTTCATTATGTTAACTTATTTTAAATCAGTTACAAGAGAGAACAATGAATTTTATGATATTTGATTTTAGAAAAAGGCATCAGAGATCCCCTTCACCTGTTAGTGTTAGTGAAAGCAGTCGCTCCAGGACCCCAAGCCCATCCACTACCCGCTCTAATAATCCATCTTCTACAATAGAGAGCTCTAGGTCCATTCCACGTGAAGATCCTTTTTTAAAAGTTGATAGTGCGTTGGAGAAATTACAAGAGCTTTCACAAAATCTAGCAGAGCAACAGAAAAAACAAGAAAAAGACAGCAAGGTATGTTTTTTTGGTTTAAAATAGTGCTAACACATAGTCTAGGAGCTTAAATTATGGAATAAGCAATGTCTTGTATGAAATATAGCCTCCTGTTCTTTTTATCACACTATATTTATTATTTGAATAGCCTACTTGATTTTTTTGTTTTGTTTTATGCATGTTACTTATGTAAACAGTGTGAATTTAATATCACCTGATTTTAAAAAATCTATTTTTAATTGTCTGTGGCTTACAATAAAATTTCTATAAAAACAATTATGCAAATACCAACAATAAGAATGCAAATTAGCAAAACTGATCTTTGTATTTTTGCTTCTGTAAAAGAAAAGGCAATTCATTTTACATATGTTGAATTATTTTTATATTTTCAGAGACTGAAAAGCATGATAAAAAAGCAGGGAAAGCTAAAAGTAAAACAAAAAGAAGTCATAGAAATTCGAAACCAAGAGGTCTGTTATTCAGTAGATTAATCAAAAATGTATTAAATATCTTATTTCACAGATACTTATTTTGTCTATGGAAAAGACTCGGGCATTTTGTTTTTACAGTTGATTACTTAGCATCTCTTCAAATTAATTGAAGTACAGGGTGGTCACCGAAAGGAGTTAACCTAAAAAATTCACAGTGAAACCAAGACCAATCTAATCCTGGCTTAGTTCATGATGCTGTAGTTGGTAAATGATAGAAAAGGATCATTAAATTCATCCTCTTATCAATTAAAGTCATCATTGAATTTTGAATCTATATTTTTGTTCTCTTTCAGACAGTGAAGGAGGTTATACTAAAAGAGAGTAGTAGGACAGCAGAAGAAAGCTGGTACCATGGTAAAAGAGTTTAAAAAACTGCAAGATTATTAAAGCCCAGAGGGATCTTAGTTTGCCATGTAGTGTACTACCATAATCCAGTATTAAGTTAGGTAAAAATGTTGTTTTGGCTTTTTCTTTAGGTTCAAATGATGAACAGTCAATGTTGAATCTGAGGAAATCGTTGCCTCCTCTTCATCCCAAGCAAGACGTGCTGGCTAGGTGGTTGGATGACGGCTGGTATTACAGATGTAGGTCTACTTAAGTCAACTGTTTCTATCATTTTATAAACGGTTTTTTTCTTACGCCTATACTACTAACATATAACTATCTTCTCCTTCATTATGAGACCTATGATAGTCTGTGCAGTAACCGCAAAACTTAAAATAAAACATTACAACATCATTCATTCAGAATAATCAGGCTGTCCAGTCTATAATATTGTTACAATGTCAATAACAACAAATTCAGTTGTATTCTAAAAAATCAAAGTCCCCTTTTTAAAATTGGCTTTTAAAGAATGTACATTTATAAATGACTAACACTTTGTTGAATGTCATGTAGTATAAGTTTCTTCAACATAAGATAAATAACTATATTTCTAATCCTAAGGTATGGTGCTACGTTGCCATGGTGATTACAGTTATGACATACAAGACACTACAGGCCTAATAGAAAGGATCTGGAGAGAGGATATCATAACAGAAGAAGATAACAGTGAGAGAAAATCAGATAACAATTTTAACATGGTGGGTGATTTATTACATCTTTTTTTTTCAAATTGTTGAGTTAATAATTATTATAATACTAAAAGTAGCTTGTAATTGCAATTAAGATGAATTAAGTGAAATTTAATAGAACATGTTTAATTTGAATATGATTTTATACAAACTTCAACTGCAAGATAAATCGGTGGTCATTGTCTATTTTAGATTTCAACTAGTATTGTCGTGATGATAAAGCACTAAAATCTTATTTATCCTTGATAAGCCAAATAATGTATTAATATGTACTTAATTTGTTCTAACTGTAAGTCAAAGTTCCATTTTAGACCTGGTAGTCATTCGGAGCAGATAGAGTACGCTTTTTTTTTATTACTTCACCATATTTAAGGATTTGTGTGGTCAGCACTATACCACCACACCAAACCTTTTCTTTCCCTCTGATTTACTATATCAGTTAACTATCAGAACATAATGGTCTCTGAAATATCATAGTAACTCAAGATCTAGTATCAAACCTAAGACATGAGATTTCCATTCACACACTATCCCATACACAAAATCTAACCAGCAGTTAAAACATTTGACTTGAATGTTTCATTTTGAAAAAAATTTTCATTGAAAAATAAATGTAAAAATTTTCATTGAAATCTTTTAAATATATGATAAATGACATAGTGACGTGTGTTTTCTTTTGTCAATGCTGAACTTCTGTGTTTCAAATCTTTTAGGTAAACAAACATGTCATTGCCTTGTTCCCTGACTACCGCTTCAGTTACGCTCCTGGGATAGTTAAAAAAGTGCATGATTACAAAATAGAGGTACAATTTTACAATAACAAAACTGATTTTGTACCCATCAATGAGGTGTACAGTATCAACTATGTGAAGTATGCAGAGGATGTTGAATACATCAACAAAAAAGACAAAGAATTGGTTGGAATGGCAGTTCTGGTGAGGAATGACAACAATGGTGTCTATTATCCAGGTGAGTGATCACTTCTCATTTTACCTTTTTAATAGTTGCTTCCATCACACCTTTAAAAATACAATGAACACTTCAGATCTTGTGTTTGAAAAGGTATAAAATATGATTTATTGAAGTTTGGGAGAGAAAAATAAAACTTATCATTAAAAAAATTTAATTAACCAGACAAGGATTGATTAATTAATAAATATTTGTATTTTAATTAAAGTAAAAAAAATTTTTTTTATTAATAATATAACACTAGTTACATTTTTTTTACAAATAGTTATTTCAATTAACTTTTTAATCAAGTCCTTCATTTCTTTAATTTTTCAAGTACATAAAATAAAACTAGAATCAATTTAAAAGAGAAAATGAAAATAAAACTTAACCATTAAAAAAACTTAAATCAATCAGACAAGGATTAATTTGTAAACATTTTGTATCTTGAAATTTTTATTTTACAAATAGTTCTTGAATTAACTTTTGTAATCAAGTCCTTCATTTAATTTTTCAAGTAAATAAAATAAAACTAGAATTAATTTAAGAACAGTTACAGTATCTCATCTATTGCTCCACAATCCTAAACTATTTTGATCCCACAGGCACTGTTAAAAAAATAAAGGATGGCTACACCTATGAGATAGAGTGGGCAGACGGAACAACTGACACACAGGATGGCATCCACATCTTTAGCGTGTTCAGGCGAAGACCAAAATTACGAGTCAACGAAAACATACTGGCATGCTACAACCCAAATACTGTAGAGTTTTTGCCTGGTGTTCTTAAAGGCATTGATGAAGATTCACTTACCGTGGAGTTTTGTAATGGAGAAATGTAAGTTGAATCTACATTTTTCAACCATAATTTATAATTCTTTGTTGTATTTGTTACACATACTCTCTTAGCTTTTCATCATTTCTTTAACAAATCTTCTCTTGTACATCTAAAACAATTTCCAATGCAATCATGAAATTAAGTATAATAATTTATGTGTAAATATACAGTATCGTTCATTTCAATCATAATGACTTTTTATTTTGAGAAAAGTATTCAGAATATACTCATTAAACTATTATAAAATAATGCAGATTTTTGTTACAGCATCAAATTAATGCTTTAAAGTAAGATTCCATGGAGTCTTAAAAAGCTCTTTACATTGCTGACACGACTGAATGATAATAAATAAAATAGCAACTATCCATACAAACAAAATGTCATACTTTCTAATCTAATATTTAATTATGCTTTCAGAGTAGAAAGTGTTGATCAATCGCCCTGGTATTGGTTGAATAAAGACTACTATGAAGAGGCCAAGAGATACTACAAAAAGCACTATAATGCTTATAAAAATAAAATGAAGACTAAAGCTGCTTCTATTCAACCTATAGTGCTGAAAACAATTCATTTGTGATTCAGTCTTTGTTTATGCTTTAATGTATTATGTAGTTCAACATTTTTAATTATAATTTAATTACATGAATGCTAGGCTGATGAGCAAAGTTACTGATTTAACATCAATATCCAAATATTTACTTTTATTATAAAGAAAATTTAAATTACAAATTAAATGAACACTTATCTTAACATTTTATTAATTTATTATAATTTCAAAAGAGCTTTCCTTTTTTAAAAGTATATTTATATGTAAAGAATGATTTTTTAAATTGAAATTCACTTTATATATTTTAAAACTAACCAATCTAAACTGTTGTAAATAAATTAAGGTTTTGATTGAGATTTGTTTAAGAAAGTGGGTGCAGTTAGAAATACATACTCTTAAGTATTTTTTACTACCAATTGTTGTTATGTTAATTCATGTAACTTACATTGTAAATCTTTTTTATAAAGAACATAATATGAATTGTGTTTTGCTCTCTTTTATGTGTTTTGCTCTCTTTTATGCAGCTTTTTGCACAACTTTGTATTTAAATTTAAAAGATTTTTATTTTGTAAATAGGCCTCCTGTCAAACTTTTTATCCCTAATTTAGTTCTTAATTTTTCATTATCACTAATAAAAAGTATAAGGTTAACTTAAATTGTCTTTCTTTTTTTTCATAAAGAACATAATAATTTTTTCATTCTTCTCTCTTGTATGTACCTGTTGCACAACATCCACAATTTTATATTTAAAAATAACAGTATTTTTATTATATTTGTAAATAGGCAAATCTTGAAGCTTGTTTTTTTTTACAATTGAGCTAGAATTGTTGTGATTTTAATTCTTAGACATGCTAGTTGTTAGAAGCTATTAACAAACACTTGCTTAAAAGGTTGTTAACACACTTTCTGTGATAAAACTTTTTTTGGTATTTCTTATACCTGTGATTTTTTAAATAGTATTAAACAATTTTACAATAATATTTGAATATATTCTTCTACTATATTCCAAAGGTATTTTTTAATAGCAAGTTGTCTATTCAGAGCTATAATAAAAACAAAGCTGTGTTTTAGCAATGTCATTGAACTCAAATAGTTGATGTTAAACTAAACTCACCATCTTTCAAACCATTTTGGTTATTTTTGCATTTCAGGAGTTATCTAACCTGTATATCTTTTAATTAATAATGTATGATTTTGTGTAGGCCCACTTGTGATTCCAATGAAAAAAGGTCTCCATACTTCCAGCATTGTTGTCAAAACTTTTCTTTACTTCTAATTGTCTGGCATAGAATGTGCTGGATGAAAGAATTGGACAACATGAAGGTCTCTGTCAGAAAAATGTACCTAAAACATACCAAATACAGCCTGTGAATGAATCTTAGTTGAATGTTTGGCTTGATAATGGAATGCATAATTTGAATTACTTTAAATGGTAATTGACTCTGTTTTTTCTTTTCCTTTTAGCAGATATGATAATATGATTTTAAACACTTTCATAGAATAGTAAAATGGATATAGTTCCATAATAATATAGTAATCAATTATTTTCTTAAAGATGTTTAGGAGAAGATAAATAATTAAAAAGTTTATAAAAACTGTTTTTGTGTATGTTTTATTTATTTTATAAATAGTTTAAGTTTTTACCTCAGTCTTTAATTAGGGTCTTTTGATTTGTTTTACATACGTCATTATCAAAATTATTTTATTTGCAAGTCAATTGTTGGTTGCAAGCTCTTAGTTAAATGCCAAAATGTATCTAAAATACTATGTGTGTGTATTTGTGTGTATGTATATATATATATATATATATATATATATATATATATATATATATATATATATATATATATATATATATATAAATGATAGATAGATAGATAGATAGATAAATAGATAGATAGATAGATAGATAGATAGATAGATAGATAGATAGATAGATAGATAGATAGATAGATAGTAGATAGATAGATAGATAGATAGATAGATAGATAGATAGATAGATAGATAGATAGATAGATAGATAGATAGATAGATAGATAGATAGATAGATAGATAGATAGATAGATAGATAGATAGATAGATAGGTAGTTTTAAAGAGTGATACTCATACACGTTTATTTTGGACTAATGGCGTAGTCAGAGCTGGGTCATAAAATACACCTGTACAATAATGTTACAATGGTTGTATCTTTAAGTAAGGTATACCTTATAACATATTTTAACACCACCCCTCCATACACGTGAAGCCCGCTCACAAAATTAGAACATCCTCTCATTCATCATGAGCATGTAGTCATGCATGACCGACCCCCCCCCCCCCCATGCTGTTTTATGACGGGATCTGTTTCTAAACTCAATCCTTGGAGAATGGGTGTACAAATAAGAAAGGAGGAAGTGGTGATGGGTGGGTCACACACTGCGAAAGGCTCACCCAAATGTTACACGTCAAGCACTTGAGTGGAACCCCCAGGGAAAGCGGAAGAGAGGGCGCCCAAGACAGACCTGGAGCCGGAGTCTTCTCGAAGAACTGAAGCCAACAGGGATGTCTTGGGAGATGACAAAATTAATAGCCGGGGATCGGAAGAAATGGAAGGAAATGGTGAAGGCCCTATGTTCCATAACATAAGGAGCAAAGAGGACTAAGTCAAGTAAATCAAGGATGCCCCCCCCCCCCATATTCTGTTATGTGACGGGATCTGTTTCCTCAACCCTTGGAGAATGAAACCCTATGGCTAAACCCTGCCTGTTGTTATTATTTCGTAGGATAAAAGATTGAGCCTATTCAACAAAGCAGGCACCTGCCAGTAAAGCATAAACGCATTGTTTAATTTATGGGGTCTTCTATAAGTGACGTCACACTCCAAATGGGAAGGGGGTTCATTTTTTTTAAAGTAGTGTTAGAAAACTAAATTCTAGCTGTTATTTCGCGTTAGCAAATTGTATTAGAAATTGATTAATTTACTCTGTGGATCAAACTCGGTCGATATTTTAGAAAGAAATCGATCTTTTTAAAAAAAAATTATGTTTCATTTGTGTAGTTTGAGATGTGATTTCATTTCAAAGAGGGGGGGGTCTATCTTTTTGTAATGGTGGGCAGGGGGGGGGAGGTTTAAAAATCGTGACGTCATTTATGGATTGCCCTAAGAAGTGATAGACACTGATTTTTTTCTCCCACTTTTTAAAAGCTCTCTAGAGATCTATTTCGACATCGTCACATTATTCACTTCTCTCACACCTTCTCCGCTATATTATTTCACCATGGTTACATTAGAAGCGTATGCAAATTTTACCTCAACCCCATTCAGTCCTACTCGCGTAGAGACCTTGAATTGAATTCATCGATTTTTTTTTTGTCCGCTGTATTTTAGTACGTAAATCAAAAGTGGGCTTCAAGACTCAGTGCACAATTCCAGGGAAGTCACGGGAATCGATTGTTTGATGATAAATTGCTACAGAAACCGGGTAAATATTGATTTATGGGGAAAATAAGATGATTTATTTTTCAAAAAGATGCATGTTGTTTTCATACAAATAATGGCCCCTTGGAGTGTATTCACACACAGGACATGTTAATTTTTAAATGTATTACAAAAATTTCTATGAATGGCAAGTAGGTATACATTGGTCTAAAAAGTTTACAGGAAAATGCACAACGGAACAAAGCGCAAAAGAATATTTGCGCACACAGAAAATTGCACAAAATAAAAGTTGGCCTACACAACAATGCGCACACAAACATATGTTCAAACTGATTTATTTTTATTTTTTTTTTGCGCATTTTTCTATCTGCGAATTGTTTGCGTTTTTTTTTTTCGTTGCCCATTTTTTTTTGTTACCGGTCACCGGGGGCCAACTAAAGTCTGTAAAGAGCGACGTAACAAACAAAAAAGACATAATTTACAATGACGACATGGTTCTACAATGTCCAATCCAAGTTTTCTAAATTTAGTATTTTTGTATTTATTGAAACTCTTAATGGACTAGCCTAGTCCTCCGAGTCCATGGACAACACACCACTGTTTTTCTTTACTGTGTGGTGGTATAAAGCAATGCTTCTTCCAGACTTTTTTCTCCGGGGGGGGGGGAGCACTTGATTTTTTCGGGGGGCGGGGCGGACAACATTTTCCGGGGGAGGGCGGACACTGGTAAAAGTATATGTTTTCTATATAAATTCCATTACTTTCAGGGGGGGGGGGGGGCTCCGCAACCCCGAAGAGATCCGCCTGGAAGAAACTCTGGTATAAAGTTCTTAAACACTGAAAAATTGTAGGCCTACATTATGTCTTTAATAAATCATTGAACTTAAAGGTGGGAAGTCAAAATGAAGTAAAGAACTTCGTCCAAAACAAATATGGAATTAGTTTTTAAGCGCATAATGTTACCAAAAAAAGCTATAATCTTCGAATCCTTCAGTCACTCCCAAAAAAAAAAAAACAACATCAAATAAGGTTCTGTGTACGTAATGTCTTCGTCAGCATACCCCTTCCTCCATGCCAATGCTATATTTATGTCTGCGATTCACATCGATGATTGCCGCCCGCACATAAAACTTCGGCGTCTCTTCTATGTGCAAAATTAATGTCTTGAAATTCTTCATTCAACATTTGTCCATTCGGCTTTCAAAGACCTCTTTCATAACCACGCTCCGTGTTTAAAAATTCAAACGTTGCTGCATAACGAAACAAACCAACTGGTAGATAACAATAGACTCATTGTGGTCGGCTATAGTGAGGTTGAACGCTTTATTGGTGCCGGGGGAAAATTAATTACGCCTTGTTGGCTATAATGGTACTTAAGATAAAATGTAATCAAGATCTTGCGCTGAAGGCATTTGACACAGCGGTTCTAAGAAAAGGAAAACAGTTGCCCCTTGGGTAAATATAGTTTAGACAACATGTGCCTATACAACATTATGTACAGGGTTCCGACCCGATAACCCTTCATCTTCGTCAAAATTATACTGTTGTTCAGATAGGCTTAATGCCATATCTATAATATTGTTAATAACTGTACTTCAATACTAAACATGACCCTGTCCTATGAGGATTAATAAGTAATAGATATTGACGACTATGTTGGTAGTCTATAGATAATCGATTAGAAATATGTACGCTTATTGTACGTATTTTCTATTGTTTATGCTGAATAAAGATGTGGATTTTTTTTCCCGTTTAAATTAAAAAAGCGAGACACGATTTGTTGGATTCGATCATCCATATCATTTCAGGCTAATCGATGTTGTGTCCAAGAATACGGAGACCATTCATAAATAAAAACTACTCAAAGTAAAACAAAACTAAAACATTTTAAACTGTAGGGGGGGGGAGGCTGTGTAGTTATAGTTTAAAAAATTAAATTAATTGATTCACGAACATCGATACTATATGAAGACATAGTCAATGTGATGCATCAATCAAGATGTAGGCCAATGGGGTAGAGATTAGTGCGGTTGTGGACACACGGGAGCGGGTCTTGTTTTACGTACTTGACTTTACAGTGAGCACTCGTCATCGATTGTTAGACTACTTGCGTTTACAATATTGTGCTAAAACAGTACTGGATGATTTGGTTGAAAAAATTATGGTGAGTCTTCATAATAGAAACCTCGGGCAGATGAGGCTCGTTAGCTGAGAACAGCCACTCTTCCAGGAGAGACAACTCCAAAATCAAACAACTGCTGCCTTGTAGTTTGTTCTTGGTTGGACAAAGGCTATGAAAGCAAATCCAAAAAGAAAAGCAGGCTGAAATCGGAATCAATGGCCTCAATGGCGCATAACCAGTTGACACGTATACTTAATTGTGATGGAGCCGTGGTTGAGTCGGCAAAAAGCACATGGTTGATAAATTCGAGTTCAAACCCTCTGGCAGATAAGGCTCGACCCCTTCCAACACTGAAAATTACGAACGAATAAGAAGAAGAAGCACATTCTACCTAATCTAAATATCTAGCTCACTATCCCTACCCATCTCAATATCCCTAACTCTAACCCTATTCCCGATTCTAACTTTAATCCTATCCTTAATTGAAATCTGTGTAATATCCTATTGCGGCTAAATGGGGGCGGGGGGGGGGGGGGGGATTAAATGTACAGGGTTTAATTGACAAAGAGAGGTTACATTATAATATGGTGTTTGACGATCTGGGGGTGGTGGAGGGGGATTCTGGTCTTATGTAGTATGTAGTTGTAGGCTTAGGCTTATGTGTACATTTGCGCAATCAAAGCTGTTGTTTTTGTTTAATAATCAGAGCACAAAATAAAAGGATTACATTTGAGCGATAATGTAAGATTACTGCTATAGTAGCAGTTGCAGATTTTACACCGCATTTACACTTGCGACAAGCATACTATAAATGACTAGAAAAAAACACCTTGCAGCAAGTTAGTTGACATGTTCCGCGGGGAAAATGTTTTCATATAACATAGGGGGTCATCCATAAATGACGTCACGCTTTTTTGGACGATTTGTACCTCCCCCTCCCCTCTGTCAGGCCTCGTCACAAAAAGCCAGATCCCCCCTCCCGAAAATGACGTCACATCTCAGCCTACAAAATTGCAGTTCAATTTTT